GAAATGCTAGAATACTTTTAAGTAGTTTCAAGTCTGTAGATTCATTGACCAGTTTAAAACTATAAGCTAAGTCTGCCTGTCTGTCTTCATAGATTTACATATGTTACTGTGATTACTGAGTAGACATAAGACTAGATTAGAAAACGCAATCCCACATCCAATACGTATACGTATTACAACAAGGTAACAAGTATATTTTTGGGAGGTTTCTTTTTTATTCAAAGGACCAAGCGGAAACGGATATCATTAACATGGTTTAGTCCTCGGAAATAGACAAAGACAAAGCGCGGAGTTTTATAGCAATTTGAATCCTCATCCTGTTTGAGCTGGGATGGCTGGAATAATTCAGGCCCATTGAAGCGTCATTTCGAAAATGCCTACACAGTAGGTTCTTTTATCCTCACAACGGCCGAATAACATTTTACATTTACAGCTACATTTCACGTGAAAATAACTGAAGAAAGAAAGAAATAATTTATTGACCAACAAACAAAGCATAAATAAAACAAAAAAAAAAACAGAAGAAGGTCCCTGTCCGCCGCTGCGGCGCTGATATTCTGGCAGGGCCTAAGTTTGACGTGAATAAAAGTAGTCGTAAAAACAAAAACACACAATCACGGATAAAAAGTACAACAAAGAATAAAAAAATTGAAAAGGCTGTTGTTTTTTCCTTTGCCTTAGCGCAAACAATAATAAAAATATAATAACACAAAAAAAAACTGTAATAATCTCTAGTCTGTGGCGGAAATTTAATTAATTTATTGAGCACGAGCAACTTATTTAATTTAAAGTAATAAAATCTCAACCAGTGTAACAATATTCTATGAGTAACTTTGTTTCTCTCAAATACCCAACTGCAAACTGCAGATATTCCTTTCATCAATTTTCAGAGTCACATGAGAATATAATGGCTGAGTGAGACAACAAAATAGGTTCGCTAGGAGTAGCCCATAATATTCTTTATGTCTTAAAATCACTCTGCAACAAAAGAGCCGAATCATACGGGCTACCGGTTCTTTGCGAGTTCTGAGTGTTTTATAAGAAATGCGTACTAAATATAGATGAGACCTTCGTATTGTAAGAGGCGGCCGTCCAAGAATGTGATAAAGAAGATTTATAGTGAGATGATACGAATAATGTAGATATGGCGTGTAACGAAATTATTGAACGTGAACTAAAATCGTTGTTACCTTTCTTCCGATAAGTCGGAAAAATAAGTACGCGTTGAGAGAGAATTATTATTACGCAAAACGAATGATGATTGTCGAGGCAAATCAGACCAGAAATTGCTAATGCAGTAAGGCAGGACCAGTTAACCCGTATTTTGAAGGTTAAGGTAATTATTATATAGGTCCCTATTGAAGCAAAAGGCGCGAATTTCGGTCGTACAAATTGAAATTATAAATGCATATTTAGGGTCCTATCGTGAAGTGTGATTTGTTTGAAGAAAACAATGTCCGCGCGAATTATCAATATGATTTCCAGTGGTCGAGATGAAATCGGTAGGAAAAGGGACATTATTGTAGTCAATATTTTCAAGTTTTTCTGTTTGTTTGTTTGGTTGAACACGCCTATCAGCGTGCGCTGTGTAATAGGTTATAGTAAAAAAAAACATTTACGACGGAATCGTTCCCCTTTAAAAGTTCTATAAAAAGTCCGCGACAGCATGTGTCTATCTTTTAAGTTGGACACACAAAAAGCAATTTTCCTCAAATTAACGCGGGTGAAACCTGAGACTGACTAGTAAACTACAAAATCGATTACTTGCTATTTGCTTACAGGAATCCCATCAACTTACAGGAATGGTGTTTTTCAGTACGTGTTATAGCATTGATAATGCAATTTCACCCGGTTTGCCGCTCTAGTGGGTGTGTAATCAAATGGACGAACGAATGCACCCAAATCCGGTACAAGGACGGTAAAAAAGCATGTTAAAAAGGGAATGCCGATTATGTAAACCCATAGAAGGCATGGTGAAAATATAATCTGATATACTGTTTCAGTTTCGTAGTCACTGAAACCAAATATCTTTTGTATTAAATAAAAAGACAGGCCAAATTACTCTACGCTACATGCGTCTCTTTTATATCATGCTTACAAAGTTCACTGATTTCAATTCACGGGGATAAATCTTATAACAACCATTCAGATTTCGGAATTATAAACTAAAGCTTTATTGAGAGACTAGCGGCCCGCCCTCGCTTCGCTTCGGTGTAGACCTGAAGTGTAGACTACAGTTTTTATTCTCAGGCTTGTATTATACACAATGACATTCATCTATGATTCTTCTTATACCTGCATGCAAAGTCTCAGCCCGATCGGTTTAAAACTGAAAAAGTTTCATATAAACTTTCATTTCCTATTTTATCCCATTGGGGGTAGAATTGATCAAAATCCTTTCTTAGCGGATGCCTACGTCATAACATCTGCCTGCATGCCAAATTTCAGCCCGATCCGTCCAGTGGTTTGGGCTGTGCGTTGATAAATCACTGTCAGTCAGTCACCTTTGAGTTTTATATATATAGATAAAGAAATGACTGACTTACAAGTAGTGGTAAAATATTACTCCTAAGTTAGGAGTCCTAACTAATATTATGTAGTTTCACTGTCGTAAAAACAGACGTCAAATAAATTCAAAATCATTTTAAGCCACGTTTAAAATGATTTTGATGACAAAGTGGTTAAGCCTGTTGTTCTGAGGAGTTATTCTCCCTTATCCCTCCATCACCTTTTGGCCACTATTCCTAAAAGAACAAAGAAATTTGGTGACTCATTTCTTTGTCGTACTTTTCGCTCGCACGTGTTCCCTCCTTCCTACAATCTGGGGTCCTTTAAGAGAGGCGTGAAGAAGCATTTTTGCAGGCCGGCAAGGTGAGGATGGACGGTGTAGCAATTTATAACTGCTGTACCAGCTATCTTCGCGTTTGGACTTTATCACCACTTAACTTCAGGTGGGGTAGTCATTTGCCTATAATTTATCGTTTTATTTGTATAATTGTGTTGGTCATATTAATCAGGTGCACTGAAACAGTTTTGGAGTCCTGTTTGCTTCTTGGGTCATTAAAAATCAAATAGGTCACGTCATTTGAAGAAGAAGAACTAATCCATGAATCTTCTTTCATTAAAAGTGACAAAACTTTGAATAAAATAATTTTCTTAAGCCGCGTACTCATTAGCGAGCTGTAAACGTAACCGTTGCACGCACTGTAACCAAAAAGCATAGTGTGTACGTGGTTCGCTAACCTGCTGCGAGCGGTACCTCTAGCACGAACCAATATCGAATTCGTAACTTTTGCGAGTCCGAAATGTCAATGTTTTAATTGAAATGTTTTAAACATGTTTAAAACATTTCAATTAAAACATTTATGAAAAATTAATAGATTTTTTTTTCTTTTGTTTTTTAATTTAAACATGATGTTTTGTTCTTTTTAAAAAAATCTGATTTTTTTCCAACCCTGAAGAGAAGTGAAGTTCGTGGACGGTGCTTTAACGGTGACGACATTTTCATTACAGCTAAGTAATGAAAATGTCGTCACGTCACGACACAAGCTTTCAATCATAAAATCGTAGGTACACAATTTGATGGATGATTCGAGACAGCACTGCTAACAGGCAGGCGCGTGTCGTATCATGATCGATGACAATTAATAGCTTATAACGATGTCACGTCAAAGACTGATCTCTTAAACTCTAATAGGGTTATGGCAGCGATTTCTTATGCTACAATATATTGATTATGGGCTGATATTTAGAACACTGGATGATAAAATTCATCTGTCCGATATCGTATTATATATCAATAAAGAGTTGACTTGTTGTTAATAGGTGTAATATAATAATAATTTCTTTTTTTTCTTCTCTCACATAAAAATACATCATTAACTTAACCTTAATACATATAACTAGTTATGTGAAAGACTGGCGTCTGTACAAGGAGACCAGGGGGCCATTCGCCTAACGGAAATGCTATGGAAAACGCTAACGCTTTCGATTTTATATAGTTATTTCTGACCGCCGAAGGTTTTCAAATACCTCACGCTATTTTTTTTAATATTGTTATTACCAATGGAAAAGAAAAAAAAAGAGCGCGGGGCATTTGAAAACCTCTGACGGCTAGAAATAACAAAATGAAATCTAAGCGTTAGCGTTTTCCAAAGCATTTCCGTTAGGCGAATGGCCCCTTGTAGGTATTACAGATTACCACTTTCCACTTCCAAACCGTCTATAAGAAACTCTAAATACATAGAAAAATTAAGTGAAATACAAAAATATAAATAGGAGAAAAAAATATAACATCTCTATAGCTCTATTTGGTTGGGTATTAATTTATTGAACAGTTAAGTTTTATATCCGTGTTTTTAAAAACCGGCTCTATATCAAATTTTATTAGTTCCCATTATAAAACTTATTTTTAGGCAAAAAAAATGTGGATTTAGTCATAAGATTTGTTATATTGTTTTAAACTTTCTTGATCACTAACATTATAGCTTTTAACGGGATTGTTACCATGTACCTTGTTTTTTATGAGTCTCCGATATTTCTGCACTGTTGCAAGCGCCATGATACTGTGATTATTGTGTGTCGGGAACAGGTGCGAGTGAGTAGTGAGAATGGTAGGGGTATCGAACGCAGTAAAAGACGACGTCAGAGGGTAGACCAATATGTCTACCAATAACATCTACCCGCAATTACTTCAGTTACTCCGTGATCATGGCGCTTGTAAGAGTGCCGAAATATATCGGAGACTCATAAAAAACAAGGTACACGGTAACAACCTCGTTAACAGCTATAAGATTTGTTTCATATTCATACGTAATAGAATTAATTCGTTTCTATTATGGGTTATGTTTGAAGAACGTAAACATGACAAATAACTGACGCGGGCACATTTTTGGTATTTGAGGAGATTTTTTTAATGTATATTAATTACATTATGAACAATTACGTATTCCAACAAGTTGATTATTAATTAAAAAACCATTACAATGAACACGACTTACCTATCGCCGCCACAGGTAAGCAGTTGAAGCAGTCTGTGAATGTTTTCCATAGCTTGATGTTATATCTTCGTTTGCACTCATCGTAGAACCTGTCAACAATAATATAATGTAACTAGCGGCCCGCACTCGCTTCGCTTAGGTGTAGAGCTGAAGTGTAGACTACAGTTTTTGTTCTCAGGCTTGTATTATACACAATGACATTCATCTATGATTCTTCTTATACCTGCATGCAAAGTCTCAGCCCGATCGGTTTAAAATGACAAAGTTTCATACAAACTTTCATTCCCTATTTTATCCCCTTGGGGGTAGAATTGATCAAAATCCTTTGTTAGCGGATGCCTACGTCATAACATCTACCTGCATGCCAAATTTCAGCCCGATCCGTACAGTGGTTTGGGCTGTGCGTTGATAGATCACTATGTCAGTCAGTCAGTCACCTTTAAGTTGTACATATATAGATATTTTTTCATAATAATAATCGTCAAATTTATACAATCTGCATTAGACAAAAAGGGATTTTATCACAATTTTATGTATGAATCTTATAAGATTTTTACCTATAACTAAAGAAAATTTAGAAAGGACCCTTAGCGTGAACCAATATCCAATTCGAATAGTTTGCGAGTGCGAAATGTCATTGTCAAATGTGTCCTGATTATTAGTTCTCGTTACGTCCGTTATGGCGCTGCTGTTCAAGTTTCCATACAAAATTTGACAATGACATTTCGCACTCGAATTCGAGTCGAGTCTTAATTTCGAATTCGATATTGGTTCGTGCTAAGGGTACAACAGATCCAGTTTTACAAAAAAATGGTACTGCACTTAATTCGCTCAGAAAACGATAGACTCTAGTTGAAATCCAGTTCCATAAAGTGGAAGAGTACTTTTATTAACTGCTATTTTTTTAAGTTTAGTGGAATTAAAAAAAAATGGTCTCATTAGGAAAACAAACATTCGCCAATAACAACCTTTTTCATTATCATAAGCACGTGTTACTCAAATCTACATATAGATGAGTATAAACGAAACGTTTACAAGGTCTCAAGATAAAAGTTGTAAATGACACGCACGGTAGTTTTCAACAAAAAGTTTGTTTGCGACATTCAAAGGTACATACATATATATATAATGTTACAGTTAAATCCCGTTTTTAGATAGAACGTGTTTTCCCTAGATAAAATTAGTTATTACTAAATGCCTTTGATAAAACTAGAATTGACTAATACTCAAAATGGAATATCAGTTAAAACTAGAATATGTATATATATAAATTATGTAACGAAATTCAAAATGTTGCTTCTTTTATTCAATTCGGACGCAAAATCATAAGAGATACGAGATTGGAATTTAACTTTCTCCCTAGCTTTTTAAAAAACGGAGGCCGATTAGCGGTGCATGTGAAAATGTATAAGTCGCTAAAATCCACGTTACGGCACCTACGTTTGCATAATATTATGTAGTCGCATGTCGTATCTTGTTAAATAATCTAATCACATTATTCGTGATTATAGATTTAAAAATCACGCATCATATATAAACAACTTACAATAGTAGTCACGAAGTATAATATGTAGAACTCTGACGCGTTTACACGTGTAGGAAAAGAGCATTTATCCTACCACTAGCTGTGCCCCGCGGTGTTACGCGCGGTTTATTCGCGATAGTTTCCCGTAGTAAAACGTATCCTATGTGTTAATCCAGGGTGTCAGCTAACTCCATACCAAATTTTATTAAAATTGCTCCAGCCGTTTAGACGTGAAGAAGTAACAAACATACACACTCCCAAACTTTCGCCTTTATAATATTAGTGTGATGTTTGATCGCGGGTTTTTAGTAGCTGCGTTCGGTTTTTGCGTCTGATCAATCTTTTTAATCTGAATGGCTTGTCTATTACATTAAGAGTATATCTGAAGCGTTCGGTTATTCCGCTCAGAACTTCATCATTATCATTAACAGCCTATCTTACTCAACTGCTAGACTTAGGCCTCTCCAATAGGGATGATGACTATTTTTTTTTTCTTCGTTTATCAGGTAGATTATCAAAAAGTATTGGACACGTATTTTTTATTTTTTCACATAATATAAACATTGCAGAGATATATTGATTTCAAAAGTCGTTTGAGTACACTTTTAAGCGAATATTCACTAAAAAGTGACGTCACGAGTCCCTACTCCCAAACTTTGACGCGCTATAACTGTCATATTTTGGTTGATTGCCCAAAGAAAAAATACGTGTCCATTATTTTTTAATCATCTAACTGACGGACTAAATAGAATTTCGTTTACTGTACCACGTCATCTACCCTATTGCACGCCACTCAGATCGATCTTGGGCTACTCGCATCCAGCTCCTGCCAGCCACCTTGCGCAAATCGTCACTCCATCGTGCCTGAGGACGTCCTACACTACGTTTACCTAGATGTGTATATTTACCCGCTCCGATGTAAATCTTTAAGCTCGGAGTATTCTGCCCGACGCGACGAGAAAGATCTGTTCTCTGTCATGTTGTGCGGTTTGTTTCGGTTTGAAGTTAGAAATTAATCTACGATCAGTCGGGCCGTTCGGTAATAGCAAATTGCTGAGATTAATCGTCGATCGATCACGTGACCAAAAATCATCGCCGTCGCCGGACAATCCGGACGCCGTTATTTTGACCGGACCCGCATCAAAGTCTATGTCCGGCTTTATCCGACCGCATGGGAACGCTACGCTGGCGCAATGTGAGTTTGCAAAAGTTCTTTATTCCCCTTGGAATTCGTGACATCACATCATAATTTTGTTTTTCTGTCGTCTCATCGCCAATAAGTCTGACAGTTGTGGATGTTGATCCGTCTCGTGAGATTTAAAGTTCAACGACCCTAACGGTGTCCATTGATAAACAGACAAGCAAATCTTATACTTATAGGTACTTATTCTATTTTATCTTAAGGTGGGTTCATGCAGCAATAACGAGTTGCTTTTGTACAAATCACAAGATAAGTCACAAAAAATAGCTAAAATTGCATAACATATCGCAGAGCATAAAAAGGATTTTGCGATGTCATATTAAATAATGTACTGGAATAATGGTGTAATAACAAAAATAAGCGCACAAATAAAAAATTAAATACTGCTAGGGTAAATAGCTGTGAGAGTATTATTTATTCCTTATTCCCCGTATTAATAAACAAGTGGGTTGCCTGGAAGAGATTGCTGCCTAGCAATAAGGCCGCCTATATTGTGTACGTTCTATCTATCATGTTTTTTTTTTATTTACTTGTGTTTTCTTGTATGGTGTATTACAATAAAGAATATTATTATCTCTTATCTATTAGACAAGTCAGTCCGTCCGTCCGTGGTGCTGTTTCAGCGGCCAAACCGTAAGAGATAGATATAGAGAATGTTTAAATTAACAATAGTCTGATAAGACTACAAACCGGATGTGAGTAACGTAGCACTTCCGGTTTTCGAGAAATCACGTGATTTCTATTTCAAACGAAACCACACAAAATATCCGAAGTTCTCAATTAATTAAATACATTTTTTTTTTTGGAAAACATTTGGTTCACTGGTTTGCTAGTTATTATTAAGGAATAAGATTAGCTAGTTACGCCGTGTTTTGTTCTTGTCACTCAAAAACCATTTATCATTCAATGAACAGAGACAAAACATAGAATTAAAGCTTATTCTTAGTTTATTAATAACTAGTGGCCCGCCCTCGCTTTGCTTCGGTGTAGAGCTGTAGTGTAGACTATAGTTTTTGTTGAAAGGCTTTTATTATATACAATGACTTTCTTCATAATAATTATAAACCTTCCATTCCAAGTAAAAAAATCGTTGAGTAGTTTAGGACCCGTTGTACCGAATGCAACATTGCTCTGCTGTTCCGATTTGAATAATTCTTTTTGTGTTGGACAGTGCATTTATCAAAGAAGACTATATATTACCAGTAGCCGCGGAGCATCGATGAAAAATGTGGCAAAAACGGGTAAAAATATTTGTGAGATTCCGTTGCGTGCGCTGGTTAAACAGTTAAAGTTACACAAAAACCATGTATGACGGATTTCTTCTCCTTTAAAAGTTCTTTAAAAAAGTCCACGACAGCCTATGACCATATTTTAAGATTGACTCACTATAAACCTTTTTCTTCAAATTAACGCGGGTGAAACCGGCTGCGCAGCCTGAAACCTCTAGTTGTGACATAACTGTAATAGTTAGACATATGGTATAGCGGACTTTTTTGTAGATATAGTATCCTCTATAAAACTTTAGTACATCACTTTGCTCAATTGTCAATGACTTCCGCAGCGTATAAGGCAAGTTTTTGGTATTTTTTACACACGTTGGGTTACATTATCGAAGTTTTCATACAGGACCCTAACTTTTTTGAAAATACACTATAGCCTATATTAATCAGTGATAATTTATCATTCAAATGGTGAAAGAATTTTTAAAGTCAGGTCTAGGGATTGCAATCCGGAAAAACGGATCCGGTAATCCGGCGGATCCGAAATCATTTGACGTTTACCGGATCCGGTGCTACAATAAAGCCGACAAGTGTAGAAGCTGATAGGGCCTTTTCAGCCGCCGGCTATATTTGCAGCTCTATTAAAAGTCGTTTAGCTGATGACACAATTAATTTAAACTAATTTGATTAAACTACCCAATACGTTGGTCTGACCAGATTCGCACCGCTCTAGACTCGACAGTCCACAATGCCCTCCACACCGCCAAAGACAGCAACAGATGGAAGACCATCATACGGAAGAAAGTGATGCAGAAGGGAGGTCACGACCCTCAGTAATGAGGAATGCGATTCAAGGAGGGAGGGAGGGAGGATTAAACTAAAGAGTTTTAAACTCATTATTGTGATAATTTTTGCCATTCATTCGTTCGTCAGATTCATCCAATCATGATGGTATCTGTCATAAATACCTATAAGACTTGTTTGTTAGCATTCTTAAATACTTTAATAATGATAATTGATAAATGATTTAGATCTCATTTCAGTTAATTACGTTAGGTTAACTGTATCTTTTAGATATTATAGTTACTTGATAATTAATAGTGTTACTCATAAATTGATCTATCTGTGAAAATGAAATCTAGA